ACCTAACCCACAACAAGGGACTAAATAAATGTCTTATGAACAGGCACAATGGTCCCACTGGTTTCACTAACCAGATTCTAGATGAGCAATCCTACAAACGAGCACAAGAGTTTTTACCACAATTAGTTCTTTAACATGGGGTAAGCATGAAAACACGAGGCAAACTATGAATCTAATGTTCGAACACTGGTTATTTCTTTGTTACCTGTAAAGGGCCAGGTGATAAGTATTAATAATTGGGGTGTGTAAGCAAATAATTAAAGATGTAAAGGTAAAATTTAATGTGCTATTGAAAAATCGCAGGCATAATACAAAGTAGGTATGGTTGCATAGGCTTGACATTTGAAAAAGAAGTATATTAAAATTGAAAATAACTTACACATTCTGGAAATGGGAACATTCAAAACTATTAGACTGCTTTCCAAGTTAACTTACACAAATTAGCTTTTCTATACAAGCTATCAGATGATGTAGGTTATCCATAACGATGCCCACAATGAAAGCCAACGCAAAAAAAAAAAAATCAGCAGTAAATGCCTGGTTGCGCATGTTCTGCAAATTGTGCAGATATGCAAGTATAATAACTATCATTTATCACTCTTCAAATGTGTACACTGGCCAAAAAAAAGCATAAAAAACAAATAGTCTACCAAGCAAGGAGATTTTCACAGACCTTGGGCTAATTGGAACTGTTTAAAATTCCCCTCTTCTTTAATTTTTGAGGCAGAAGTAACACAGATGAAAATCCAGCTGATACTATGCCTGCGACTAGAAACAGTGCATAAAGGATGGATGGCATTCAGGTCACTCATATAAGTAAAACTGTGCAGCGCTTTGCTTCTGTAATAAGAAATTATATCCTCTGCCAAATACCTCAAAAAAAAAAAAAAAAAAGAAAAAAAAGAAAAGAATACAGCATCCTAGAGCTGAACAGAAAAAATAAGTGGCAGGTTCTAAAGTTTTTAAAACAGTAGGTGTCAGATAAACTATATAACCAATACAGAAGAGAGTTCTAAAGTGTCATTTAATAAACTTACCATTAATATATCTTAAAAAACCCCAACATATAGGAATTCAGGAACATGTCTAAAAGTGAAAGACTCCTGTGCAAAGCAGTCAGTAGTCTAAGAGCTGGCACATCAATGCTGAGAGCCTGCAAGCCAGGAAGCTTCAGGGTCAAGAAGCAGAGATCACTTCTTTCCTACTAATGTGTGGTAATATCTTTTTGTGCTTCAGTATGTTTATTACTAACCCTTGATAATGCTCCTCAACTGCACACACATTTTATTCATCTACTTTATAAGTAATGTAACAAAGACCGTCAAAGTCTCTGCAGGCAAAATTGTAAATAGAATCCAGCTTTTTAATATACCAGAGACATAATTCATCCACTCTATCAAACTGCTTTTTGATAGAGATACCGAAAATGTGTTAGGCCATGCTCTATAGTCATTACTTTAGGTTTTTTTAGGAACTGCAACCTAGGAATCCTCAAGTTTAATTGCTCTTATCTGCCTTACACACAATAATTACACAAACCACTGGCAAAGTGTGGGTTATGATGCCTCCTAAATGCTGACCTACACAGAAGTTGACTCCCATTTTTCTACTATCCCTTTAACTCATGGGGAAAATCTCTGAAGACAATTGGTTCAAATAGTGCTGCTATGAAATAAAAAAAACCCTGAAAAACACTATAATGGTATGTTTATAACAATGAAAAGGCATAAAAGAAGGAAACAAACTATTCTGACTATTCCTATCTTGCTACCACTTAGGTGCAGCTCTTTAATGATCTTTTGAAATAAGTTATCCACATTTTTAAATTAATGACAATCTCACATAATTTGGCCTTTAGTTCCACCTCTATATGAAGCAAGTAATGCCATTTGTAGAGGGAATTCCTTCTAAAAAAAATTGTCATTTTTAAAATGTCATTTTTAAACAGCAGTTTAAAAAATGTTTGGAAAAAGAAATTTGTTTTTTAAATATTTCCCATTAAATTTCACACATGGAGCAACACAAAAGAGTTCAACTAAAGAAGCGCCATATATGGTCTTGAATGCTTCTTATCTAGCTAATTTTTAAATGCACAACTACTATCTAAATAAAAATAAGTTTCCATAACATGCGAAGTCTGAGACTACTTTTAAGTCCTGAGAGATGTAGCATTCATTTGAACAAACCAAATCAACAACTTCTAATCAGCTTTAGGTGACAAATTTCAGGAAAAAAGCTTATTTCTCCAGGAATATTTAACTAGCTTTTTGTTGTTTGAACCACAGACAAAGAACATGCTAAAGAAGACTAAAACTTCCCTGGTTTACAAGGAAAAAGAAATGTCTAGTTTTCCTTACCATGGACAACTCAGGAAAGAGCACTTATGCTGGACAGCTCCAGACACTCCAGGTCAGAAATCAGATCTCTTTTTATCACAAAAATATAGAAGATTTTTTTTTTTTTTTTACACTAATTGGGAAATTCAGGTTTCTGTTGACTTAACTTATCTTTCTATCACTTATACAAAGGTAGAATATCTCTTCTTGTGTTTTGATTTCTACAATTCAAAGCATTTGAATCCTGATAATTCTTTTCAGAACTTCCCAGAGCATACACAGCAGTGGTAGTCTTAAGAACGCTCTTTAAAAAACACTTAAAGATCAAAACATATCGATATATATTGATCACTTTCCTTGTTGTCCAGAGTTAGGCAGCTCCTCATCTCAATAGCTTCTCCACCCTCTGTAGAGATCTTTCTTGACCATGCCCTAACTGCACGTACCATTCGATAGCTAGAAAAATAGCAGTTTTCTGTTACAAATCCAAACAAATTAACAAAATAGTCACTACCCAATCAAGGAATAGGTTGATGCTCCAAGTACCTCTCACAGTCCTACCTGCTGAGCATTCTTTCCTGTGTCTCTGATTTTGTTGGGTTTTTTTTTAACTTCAAACCTTTTTTTCCTGTTTACTCCCTTTGCTATTTAGTACTTCTGGAGGCTGGGTGAGGAAAAGAATATCCAAAATGAACAGGTAAATATCAAACTATTAAATTCTCAGTGCTAAAACTGAATTTAGGAAAACAGCACCTGGCAATTTCATCTACCTGCAATCAAAAATATATTTTGTCAGACACGGAACTAATTATCAACTGATATGAATTTTAGTTCTTGCTCTCCATAAGACAGGATATGCTAGCTCTATTAAAATATGATTAGGCCTGTTACTCTTCATCTCAATACCCAATCCTTTTCTCTAAGGATTCCTCTATTATGCAAACGAACAGCAAAGCAATTAAACACTTCAAAAAGGAAGACTGAAAATTTGTAATGAAAGAATTATCATCTTCACCTCCTGAAATATCTAAAACAAATAACATGCTAGGAAATACTCTTCTGCATTACATAAAGCCATTCTTCTGTTAGATGAAAACTGCCCAAATCATTCATGGAAATATCTGAGCTGAAAACGTTTGAGGTCACTTCAACATCTGTACCAATCTTGCCACAAAAATCTACCTATCCTCTGGTTTCTGAAAAGTTACAAGCAGAAGAATTGAGATTGCTTCCTGAAAAACTATAAACTATTCATGAAATGGACTTGCCACCTGTAGGACTAATTGCCTACTTTAGGCAAAACCCTTGGGATTAATAGGATACCTGCACCTCCTCCTAACTGGGAAGGAAGGAAAAAGAGCCAGAGAACTGTGACTGGTTTCCCACAAGGCAAGGCAAAAAATAAACAAAGAGAAGGTATTTCTTTGAAAGGAACTTCTTAGAACAACATGCATGTCACATCATTATGTATATGTAGAGCTACTAGCTATGCAATATCACTCCTTAGCTTATCCTTGTACACTTGGAATTTATTTTCCCCTTAACTTCTGCAGTTTTCAAGTTTATAGCATTATAGGAACAGACGTAAGAAAAAAAAAAAAAGAACCAAAATTATTCAAATGAGAACAAAGGTTATTGGTTTTCATTTTATAAGTTCTTAAGCAGTAGTGGGTGTGCAGCACATGATATCATTCATTCTAACTGCTACTTCACTTATTAATTATCATTGCTAAAAAGTGTAAAGGGAGCTAGAAGCACCCCAATATTCTGTTACTTTGGTACAATGAAGAAAAAAATCTAGAGCTAAGCAAAATGCAGCCCAGATGCCACGCACTGTTAGGCTATATTGTCAAACAGTTACCAGCTGAGTCTACCAGCTATACTCACCTAAGCAGTGTCACAGGAACTTCTGAAGAGAGATAATTTATGTAAATATGGATGGCAGAACTAAATCCTCTGAAGTAACCAAATCTTTTTTCCTTCTTTGTTCAGCTACCTCCACTCCTTCCCCAATGATCAGTGGTGTCACATTTTCCATTCTCTCTACCAAATTTTTTAATTCCAATTACACTGATACCTCACCTTAAAAAGATTTATCCTGCAGACTATGGTTTTATAATACAGCTGTAGATATCAACCAAGCCATATGGATCTCAGTGGGTATTGTCAGTGCTCATTCTGCAATTTTTCATTTTCCAAATGGAACGTGTAGATTCCTATCATTATTCTAAACAGATATAACATCTGCTCAATGTGTTTTATACACTGAAAAGAAAAAAAGGAAGCAATTTTAAACTATATATGGAATCTACACATAAAAATATTAGAATATTTACAAAACATGTAACTGTTTGGTACAAACCAGGGATACAGAGGCATTTGTAGCTGGTTCCAACACTGCGACAAATGCCATGTGCACAAGGATTCAGAGCGCAGAAGTCAATCAGCTGAGCACATGTAGGTCCTGTAAATCCAGGACTGCAACTGCAGGAGAAGGCAAGTCTGTCTGCATAACAAGTTCCATTGTTCTGGCAGGGAGAAGATGCACAAGGGTCTATTTTGTCTTCACAAGATGTTCCTAAAAACCCTAAAAGAAATAAGTGGTTCTGGTAAGTAAGCATACTGCTATGCATACAATTTTAATAACCAAAGCAACTTAAAAGTAAGCCATTGATATATCTATATTCCTATTTCGTTAATTCTATAAAAATTACAAAACCGCATACTTCCTATATATATAAAACTCTAATTTTACCCATTAACATGGTATGATAAAAGATGTTTCAGGTAGAATCATACTATCATGTGATTAAGGCAGTGAACTGCAAAATATTTGTTGAAACTTGACAGTGCTTATCCACTTTCTGAAGTGCATCTGGCTAGAAAAGCAGAAGAGATTTTCTAAAGATCAGGAACAGACTAGCCTAGAAAAAAAAAAGACAAAACTGACTTTTTTTCATTGCTGGTAATTGTATGTTAAGAATAACAACCTCTAAAGCAGCACGTGAGTTTATTTGATCTTCAAGAATTTAAAAGAATATTTTTTACAAGAACATACTTCTCATTTAGCAGGTGAGAATAGTTTATTGAAGCAACATCATGTAAAAATTAGACATAAAGCAAAAGATATTCTTTTAAGGGAGTTTTTTTAATCAGATGTAGAAAAGAACAATATTTGAACAAATTGCAGTATACTAACTATAGTTTGTATGTATACATACATATACATCATGTACATAGTAACACGATGCATGGTTATTGTACCCAAAAGCAAGTCAGAAAAGTATATTCAAGTCCTAGCACCCTTCCAAATAAAAGAGCAAACTGTCTTTTCCATTCAATTCTAATATTTTTTATGAGTATTTCATCCATTTGTAAAGACCATCACTTTTCAGGCTTAAAGGTCCCTGGAATATCTTAAATTGTAGAACAGCTCTTAACATTCCAATACACTAATCACTGGGAATGAGAAATGAGGAGCAAATCAGGCCAGCCTCCACTCGAAACCCAGGAAACACCAATCTACTCTAACAGAAAGTATAAACCACTGCAGTTGTGCTCCTCTAAAAGACAAAGAACAGACTACATTTCCGTTGCTGCCCAGGAGATTGTAGCGACATTTCAGACATCAAAGAAAATAAGTAAATGCATGAAAACTATTATAGGATTTGAAAAATATTTAATCAGAAAGAGAGAAAAACAAAATAATTAAAAAAAAACCCACAAAAAACCCCAACAAAAACCCCAAACAAACCAAAACAAACAAAAAAAAACCCCAACATAATTAAACACAAAAAGTGCCTGATGGTGAGAGAAGGGATCAAGATGGAGGAGATGTCCCTGTTACATAGCAGCTTGTCAGCAACTCAGGGCATGAAAGCAATGACACGTGACACTTTGGATTAACACTCAATATTGAAATCTTATGCCCGATGGAATGAAGCAGATTTTCAGCCTTGCTTCTATAGCTTTTGTATCTATCAAGTCTCACTGCTGGATTAAAAGCAGCTGATGTATTAGAACTGAACGCCTGTATTGTATAAAGCTTATGATGAATAACAAAAGTGAGATCAAATACCACATTCAATACATACTTTACAGTATCTCATTATCTTTTACTGACTCAGTAAATATTTTTGTTCTAAACAATGTTATTCCACATTTCAAGCAAGGTACAATTCATCAGGAAATAGTTTTCTGTTAGTTTTGACAGATGTGTCACTTTCAGGGAATTTCTATTTGCTTTCTTTTCTTACTATTCATGATTCACATTCAGATGAATCATAGAATGGAATCATAGAATGGTTAGGGTTGGAAGGAACCTCAAAGATCATCTAGTTCCAACCCCCCTGCCATGGGCAGGGAAACCCTCCACTATACCAGGTTGCCCAAAGCCTCATCCAAGGTGAGTTAAACTGTAAATTTGTTTAACTGTAGTTCTAGCACTGTAATCATGGAGTGCAAGTCAGGAGTTAGCATTTCTGAAAACAAGCGTGTAAGAAATAGATTAATTTATATTTAAAGCATAACAAAACACCCTAAACATTTACAAAAGGTTTAAATTCTATAGTTGTTCTTGATTGATTAGATTTGTTGAAAACCTGTGTCAGAAAGATCTAGCGAAGCATAGTCTGTCAACTTGACTGCGCTCCCAGACTTCAACAACAAGTGAGGGCTGAGATCATCAGCCTAAAGACATTAAAGTTTCCAGCACACACCAAAAAAAGGGAGACCAGCAAGAAATTTTAAAGAGCCTGAGGACTTCCTCAAGGAGGCACGCTCCATGCGTTATAGATCACAAAAGCTCAGCAAACTGCATCAAAAAGGGAGGGAAATGGATATTAAGCAAAGGTGAGCAACCCACACAAATTGTACTACAGGGATATACTCAGAGAATTAACAAAACTTAGATTACTCTAACCAAGAAAAAGATGGAAAGGCCACAACTGCCCTGAAAGTTCCAGACAAAACTAGAATATTCTTGGGCACTGTTGGCAGCAGGATTTTAGAAGCATCCTCAAAACATTATGTCCTGGACACAAATGACTTAAACAGCTGTGTTTCCCTCTCACATTCCGAAGTCTTACACCAGAGCTATGGAATGAAAAATAAAGAAAAAATAATCCTATTAAAAAAAATAATAAAAAAAGAAACAACCTACAGATTGAACTTCTAACAGTTTATTCGTAAGTAACTCAGCGACAGATCAGGAAAGAAAAGTTGCTCTGGCAGAGCACAGGCAAAGAAGAGGCAAGAGCCTTCTGCCCTGTCCATTTTGCTATCCTATGGCCCAGATTGTTTCATGGGCTTTATCAGGACCACCTGCACGCCAATGTTGAAGAGGGGCAGCTTAAAAACAGATACTGTGGAATCCTATATTAGAGGTCTCTCCTGTAGATGGTAACTGCATAACCATCAGAAACTGAAAAGAACAGAAACCTTAAAATCAAGAATCTAATTCCAGTAACTTTTTGCTGATGAATTAAAGAAGCCTGTACTGTTATCATAAAATCCCAGATGGTTTTAAAAGAATCTGCAAGGACTTGTAACTATTACCAGGAGAACATCAGCCAATGAGTTGGATGAAATCTCTACTACCTCTGGAACTGGATTAAAAAGGATCAAAGAGATCTGAGGTCACACAATGACACTAATGCTGCTTCACTACAACCTTTGCAATAACCTTCCCTACAAAGAGAAGCTTACTGGCAGATGGCTAATGTTTCGAGTGACAAAGCATTTCAAGAACATATGCAGGTTTGAAATACACTAAAACATGTTGCCCTTGTGCTATCTTTGACTGCACTGTGAAATGTGTTTAATTGATTCTGGAAGTTTAAATCTTGTGTATGAGTTAAATATCCAAAAATCCTCAAAGCAGCAGTAGTTACACATCTGAATTGAAATCTATTATTTTAGCATTTCTGAATGTATATTTAAGTCCATATCAATAAAATTGTTGAAAACAAAGAATGCCAGTGATAAATTTAAAAATCAAATTCAGAGGTTTATTGATTAAAAACAGAATCAAATGCTCGAGGAAATAAAAAAATCAGGATTATTTATCTGCATTTAGATATTCCCCAAACTGTTCTTCAGCCAGCTAACACAAACTCAACCTGCATCTAAGTCATCATTGGTGTAACAGAGACATGACTGAAAGATAAAGACTACTGGTGATTTGAAAGATCTGAAGGCAAAATTTATCAAAGGAATAACACAGAGGTAAAGGGGAAAGGCAACATTAGAAAAGATTTGTACAGCTAAAAACCACAATACAATATTTGTGCTTACACAGATCAGACCATTTGGCTAGTTGTCAAGAAGACTAGAAGAATTAAGTCAGGTGATATTCCTTATATATCACTACAGACCTCCAGGGCAATGCTAGAAACTAGATCAGAAAGTGTTTTCAGAGATAGAAAAGCTCTGGATAAAAGCCAGATTTCTCATCATGGTGAGATTTTAATTACTTGGCTATTGAAAGCCAGAGAGCCATGTACAAAGCAAGGACGTTAAACATTTTCTGAAGCTACTGTACAACTGCTTTTTCTACAATCTGTGGAACAACCAACTTGCCTGAATGTTATGTTAAAACTATTTAAATTACATAAATGTGAAAAATTAAGTCTGTGAATTGCTAGGACTCGGCCTTACAAAACCTTTAGATTTTAAATACAGGAATAAATATTAAAAGCAATACAAGCAAATAATTATTTTCCCTATAGAAAATTGTTTTGTGAGGAAATACAAGACGTCTGATGGTATTTCATCAGAATTCTTTAAAGGGAAAAAAGATACTCGTCATAAGGAAACATGAAATCATTAAAATGTAATTGTAAGATTTTGATTGAAATTCACCCTAGCTAAGTCTTTACAGATAAAGATGAATAGAAGGTAAACCTGTTAAAGCATTACGGAGAAGTCTATCAAAAATAAGAGCAATTTGGGAAGATGCCAGGTAAAAACATTAGATTAACAGAAAGTACCAGAAACTAAACAGCCATAAAAATTTTTAATTAACAACAAAATGTTCTCCAGGTAAATTAAACTCTCTTATGGTAATATGAAGAATTCTGCATTCTCTAATCACCAGTAACCTTGGGAAATCTTCCATATACAGCAGCTGTGTGACCTAATTTCTTAAAATTAAAATAATAAATAGGTTTATTGTGTATAAACCTAAAGAAGTTTGAATCACATCTGTAAGATATAATCTAGAAAAAGGCTTTTACATGAAAATGAAGCTCAGAAAAAGTGAAGACCTTGAAACTTAGGCTATTCTTTATTTAAGCAAATAACTTCTATTCTCCCAGTCAATTAAAATTCATGGTGACAATGTGCATTTTCTAGCTGCTACTGCAAATCAACAAATATGAATCACAACTTAGCATTTTCTATAGCTGTCAAACTCTTTATTTTTTAAAGCACAGAAACCACAATAAGAGCATTCATAAATTTGCTGCTTTCCAGTATTTCCAGAAATACCTGGAGGTATTTCAGGGCACTTTTGCTCAGTGTGTTGCCTAGCTGTAGTTACCTGTAGCTAGTCAAACCAAATTGTCAATTAATCTGAATGAAAAGGTTGCTGCCACTTCTGTCAGAGCAGATGACCTCCGCACAGAGAAGGTAGCAAAATCCCAAGAATCCAAGCTAGCTGAATGCTTGCTATTTTTGTCAAAGATTAATGTTTTCCTATAACACTGTATGTAGTTCATCTGTACATATCATCAGGACATTAAAATTGCATGGAACGATAAAAATTAACAAATTAACAAATATTTCAATGAATTTAATAACTGCCTAAATAAGGATAACTAGTTTCTCCATTGCTAAAACATTTATTGTAATTACATTTGCTTATTCCAACCAGCTTTTTTTATGTTTCTAATTATTATTTGTATATTGAATTCCACTTCAGAGTGCTTTGGGAATTTACCTAACTTCTCAGTGACTTAAAGAAAATGAAGTAACCAAATTCATAAATTGATGAGCGGTACCCTAATCAACTCAAATAAAATGAATTAATATTACTGCCAATACAGTAGTATGTTATACATTACAATAAGTGGAAGAAAATCAGAGGAGACATTTAAGTGATATGGGTATTTATGGAATCATTCTGAACATAAATTTCAAATATCCATGTTCAGGTTGGCAGATGTTTACTATGTGCAGGTTCCTAGAACGTGTAGAAATTTATTTGCATGATCATTTGAAAGTAATATCTGCTAAGTGTGTGTTTCTTATCATGAAACTTTAAAGAAGATGATCAAAGATCCCTACTGTAAATAAGTACAACATCCCAAATATCCTTTTCACAATAATAAAGAGCCAAAATTTTGAACTAATTTTTCAGTCCTTAGTATTGCTTAAGCTTCTTCAGTATAAATTCGAGTATAAAATCCAATTTTCTCTTTAGTACAGGTGATTCGACAACTTCATGTAGCAGTTTATTTTCTGACATATTTTGGAGATTAAAATCTACAATGCATCACACAGAAAATAGAAGCTGCAAGCATAAAGAAATTTTCTTCACTAAAGGACTCTTAAGACAGTAAAATTGTCTAAAGAAAAATCATGAAATGTTCATATCTGATCTATGCTGCTTTTTCAGTGCCTTAGATCTCACCTTCTGTAAGTTATCACATGCTCTCATTTGTAAAAGAAATGCACAATCTCGAGATCATTCCTTGTTGTTTCCATCTCATTCCTTTTTTTCTGCCATCTTTTTCTTTTCTTTTGTGACACTTTCCATCTTCTCTTATCTTTTTCTGCCTAACCACATTGTATCTCCAGTCTTTTAGTTTTTACACATACATAAGCTTCTTGGCTACCTTTCCCCCACTGTGCTGAATTAGCACTACAGAAAGTAAGTTCTCTTCTCACAAGCAATTACTATTAAGCACAGCAGGAGAATAGCAGCAGAGCAAGAGACCTCACTTTAAATTAGGAACCTATCATGGGGTTTTGGCAGAGATTTTTTTTTCATGGAAAATTTGAGGACATGCTAAAAATAGCAAATCTTCAAGTTCTTGCATCTGTGATTTTCAATTAACTATCCTTTGTTGTATTTACAAAAATAACCGAATCTCTTCAAAACCCAAACAAAAGCTCTCAAAATACACCTCTATGAGAGGATAATACCTCAAAAGAGGAAAGAAGAATTATGGGAAAGGCAGACATTAGTAAATTTAGACAAGATATTTTGTTAAATCAGCTCTTTCTTTCCCTCCACAAAATAACCAAATTCCTGAGCTCATTGGCATTAGTAGATCTTACAGAAAAAGATGCAAAAGCAACACCTTGTTACCTAATACGCCCATTAGGCTCCTCCAGAGCAATAGCACTGGTCCTTGCAGACAGACTGTCACTTCTGCACCAACGCTCTCCCCTCTTTATGGAGAGGACATGAGTAGGAAGCACAGCTACATAACTTCACGGGAAGCATTCGCTCTTTGAAACGAGGGTAATTATTAGGGAGCCCAGGAGACACCTTTGGGGCTGCTGTTGAGCTATCGCAGGCTCACTCAAGAAAAGCAACCATGCACACAAGATGGTATTTGTTCCTGAAAACCTAAGAATGATTTTCTCATGTCCAAGGGACTGAGAATCAGACCTGGCATATGCAAGACAATTCTTTCTAAAGGAAATAATCCTGGCCAGTCCAGAAAGTGATACCTGAAACTTTATATCCCCTCCAAAGGCTTTTTCTACATTGGAAATAAAACAAGTCAATAGATGCAAACTGATTTTAACAAGAGTTGTAGATATATTTCAGCAAAATTTTTTTCTCATGGTGCCCCATTGCTTTTTGAAAACATTTATGCCATGTGAGCATTTTAGATATATAAATAAGTAATGAAAGTAACAGCTCTTCCCCTAGTTCTATCCTCACTCCGTAACATAGCTGTTCTTGGAAACACGGAAATGCTACTGGGAGACTAGAATTGGTAACTCTGCACAGAAAGTTTCAGACAGGTGACCTAAACCTCATGTTTGCCTGTCAACACAGTCTATGACCAGAGAGGTACTTCTTGAAGTTGCTAAGTAATTGTGGTTTTTTGTTTTCTCTGGAAGGGACAAAAAGCACGTCATATCTTTAAGGAAAATCCAGAAACCATGGAAAACCTCAAGATTCCAAGGAGAAAAGGAGCACAGGTTTGTAAGACATAATAAGAATGGAAGTGCCAAAAAGAAAAAAAAATAGCAGAATACTGAGAAAATGGTAACGATTTGCCCAGAAAGAAAAAGAGCAAAGCACACAGCCCAAAAATCTAAGATTGTACAATGGCAGTGCCAAAATAAGCCTGCTTACAGCAGAGCACACGACAGAAACAACTGGAAACCTATCAGACACAAATATGGATCAGTGGCAAAGAAAGTAGCAGGAGATAAATACTCAAGAAATAAAGCAGGCAACAAGACTGTCGGGCTATGTGGTGTAACACAGAGATAGCCAAACACCAGTAAAACTGAGAAAAGAGAAGTCCAAGTGACTGTTTGTCCAAGTAACTGTTCTCCGGCAGCAGAAACGCTGCTGTCAACAAGAACGCGACACATCAAGCAGGGGCACATCGGACAATATCTCTGTCGCTCTTTGGGGAGAACTGCTCTGGAGGGAGACGAAGGGAAGGTTTTCCCCTCCTGCATTCCAGGCCTCCCACGCAGCACCAAGGAATGGCGCGAGGCCCTTGGCACGGCTGGCTGCTGCGCTCGGACGGGCAGCGTTGCTGCCTGCGGCTGTGCCAGGGCCTGTGGGCAGGCGGAGCTGGTGGCTGGCCCCGTGCCCCTCGTGGGATAATTGCTGCTGGCACAAGCTCCCTGAGCAGGAGAGCAGCCACAGCACTGCACAGCATCCGAGGCATAAATGCCTTTTAGCAGGGCACTGGGGAGCAGTCCTAAAACAGCCAAATATCCCAGCAGCTATTTTTCCAAGCATTTATTACGGGGAAGATCATTTCCCACAAAGCGTCCTTAAAGATCCTTGAACAGATTTCCTAAGAAAAATGCAAGTAAATTCTTGACCAAGACTAACATCTAACAATTTTCTCACTGAGTTTTGCTACTAGTTATAAGGCAAACAATTTTCAAAACTCTTTCAAATGCAAGACCTGCACTGCTGTCAAAATGTCAGTGTCTGTGTTTCAACACAGCTATTAAGTGGGTCACTCATTAAAGCATAACACCCTAGAAAAGCAAGGAATCAGTCTAAAGAAATTACAAACAATCTTCCTTATTAAGCAAGTATATGTTACTGGAGCAGATATCAAAGACTTGTATCCTTCAAGCAAGGATAAGGTGCTGGCAGAATTAAAAACAACATCCACAGATCAAGTAAGAACAGAAATATAATTAGTTCAAGGTTCTAATCTTAATTATAAATAACTAACAGAAGGCTTCATAATTGAGAGCTTTCACTCCTGATAATTTTTTTATGAGCAATTTAGGTAGCTGCCATTCCAGTCAGCAAATTGTTACCAGAGCATACACTTCAGCATTGTCTTGTCCTCATTTCACATAGCTACATTTACAGCGTTTACCAATGAGAACCACTGAAAGGCTTTCATGTAAAGAAAGGCAAAAGTCCAAACAGAAAAGAGGATGAATTAAAACTTTGGGGGACTGAAATAATTCCTTTAGTTTTGAATTATTGCTCTTACACACATTTTAGCCAACTGAATCATATGCAAAAACATGCCAACACAACAAGGGAAGCATCCTTTTCTCACACATTTACTGGACAATACAAAAATCAGACCACAGTCTAACTCTCCTCAGATTCACCTTCTCACAGTGCTGGAGCCTGATTTCTACTGCATAGGTGCCAGAGAAATAGAGAATATTTCTATGCCACACATACACTAAACCACTAAGCTTCAGAGAAAGAAAATTTCTGCGCCACATATACCCTGAAACACCAAGCTCCTACCATACTTCACATACTATTGCTGATTATACAAAGATTTTTTTATCTGGATTTTTTTCTGCTTACAATTATGTCCTAAGGCACAATTTAAAAAATATTTAAATATACATATAAATATAACTGAAAATTCAGACTAAGTGCAAACCACTAGTTTGTATGAGGTACTAGACAGGTCTCTGCTGTTTACCTTCTGGGCACTGACAACTGAATCCATTGATGTTGGATGAGCAGGTACCTCCATTTTGGCATGGCTGCTGGATGCAATGATCAATCTCTGACTGGCACAGCTCTCCGGTGTAACCTACAAAACAGCACACAGCATTCAGGAAATATAGCGAAAATAAGGTTTTATTACTAAATGTATTACTAGGTCATTCAGACAGCACCATTAGTTTTCTTGAATAAAATTAACCAAAGTAAGAAATAGAATCCAAGATAGTCTTCTAATCTCTTATAAAATGAGGTTTTTAATTAGAACTTATACTTCACTGCAGAAACATAAATAAGTAGAGGAAATCTAGAGATTATACTAATTGTATTTTACAAGCAGCAACATTCTGACAGCACTAATATCATGAAGGTTGGTGCTGGGTCCTCATCAGCACCCATATAACAAAAAGAAGCCATTTTTTGAATGGTTTTCAAACAAATCTTGAATCTCAAGTCAACAATCTTTAGCAAGTCTTTAAGAAATAGCAAGTCTTTAAGAAAGAGTTGACACCATGAATTATTTGTGCATATGCTGAATGACTGTCATTTGCTCCTACTTCTGGGCTTCAAAAAGAGTGTTTATTTTAAGTGGGAGCTGTGAAGAACTGCTCAGCACAGTTACAAACTCTTCCAAATAAGCTCCTATAAGTTCACAAGCTACAGATTGTGTGTACTGTACAATTTTAACATAAGTTTGCTTTGTTCCATATGTCTGATGTCTATAATACATCCTCAAAAAATGAACAAACTTACAAAATACAATCTAAAGGATTAAACACTCCAAACTTAAATTCCTTAACAAATATCACACATTCTTCTTTCCAAGTTTTATTTACCTCCAACAAACTATCTTGGATGCAGGACTGAAGAAGAAACTACATACTACACACAGAGCCACTTTATTTTTTAAAAGGAACCCTACATAAAATTAGAAATATCTTGCATAATAAGCGTGTTTAACACAATGGCTGGTGTTAGACCAGTAAGCTGTGACTAGGTGACACTTAACACACAGCTATCTAAGACAAAGACCCCAAGGTGAGACAGAAGACATGCCTGGCCTAGGATTTTGTTCATGCAGGGGAGAAAAAGGAAAAATAATTTAAAAAAAAAATCTTATTTTGATTAATTATTTTTTTAAGGCAATCAAAATTAACATTTATAAGCCTTTGAGGCAGGCTAATACTTAGACCTGTTCAAATCTACTGATGTCACCATAAAATAGCTCTCAACATAGATTGTTGCATTTAGAGTTGCTAAAGCACTACTACAGAAAAGGATGTATAAGCAGACGTACTCTCTGTATACCTTGCTGCTTTTATATCCTATAGCAAGCTAAATTATGATCCCATTTTCTGCAATGGAAAACCTGGAAAAAGAAACTTGGCTGTATGTTGTATCTGGATTAATGCCCATAAATCACCTAAACTGGAGAAAAATACTGAGGTTGAAAACCAGAACTGTGCTCTCATAAGGCAGCGCCTCTGGACTGGATTGAGGCACTTAAAGGGACGTCAGCCTCACTCTGGATAACTAGTGATTTTCTGTAATTCTAATTGGTCTCAAATTAACATAAATTTTACAAAACTAGCAATGATTTTTTTTTATCTATAGGCTTCATATTTTTTCAAGTTCTAACATTCAGATGATTATTTTTATGAATCATAATACGGTATTGAATATGCTTAACTCATTTAAACGTTTTTTCATCTTCGAACTGTTACCAAACTTATGAAAGCTAAAAATTACACTGGAATTCAGTGTGTATCCAAAAGAATGTTGGCATAGAAAGGCCGAAGTGATTGTGTTGCTCTGAAGCTTGCTACAAGAATCTGACTTCCTGCAATTGTCATTATAGCTTGCAGGAAAACTCATCAGAGATAATATTTTATGTCAGTTTTATGAAAATAAATATGTCCCATCTTATTATTATGTATAGGGCATGGTTTGTCCATCTGAAAGAGAATATGATTTGGGATTTTCATACCAAATATGTCACAAGTGCTACAAATTAAGAGGTGCTAAGCAATTACGATGGACGGGGTGGGGAAAGCAGTTTTCTGGTGAGATACACTTTAAGAATCATTACACCTATTCATTTTGTGGTAACGCTTATCTTCATAACATTTACTTCTGTCAACATTTCGGGAACATGATCTCATTCACATACAAATGTTTCTGAAACTTACATATGGAGACATTTATCAATGGGAATATATTATAGTTACAAAATATGTAAGAGAGATATGTTATCTTCAAGAAACTGTCATGATCTTACTCATTGTTTCCTGGCATCTCATGGTACCCATTTTTCTACAATTGCGATAACACTTTACAAAGCAGGCAATTGACATGCCTGTCCCTAATAGCAACTACATTTTTATCTCATAAAGAGCTTTTAAAAATATGGAGAGGCCAAATTTTTAAAAAATATATAACCACTTGATGCAAATATCTAGGATCATAATAATAAAAATCCTAGGATTTTATATCATTACACAAATAAAATAACATTTGCTTTATCAAGGAACTATAATTTGTAACTTCCCAATAGAGGCAGAAACTATCCCAGATTGATCTAAGTGTAATAACAGCAGTGATACCTTCAGAGTCCTATACATAAGTGAGAAGTATATTTACGCTACTCTGCAAAACTTCACTGTGCAACTCAAAAATATTGAGTTTTCCTAGTGGAAACACTACCAGGCTTTACAATAAGCACATCAGAATTATTATAAATATTCCTTCTAAAGCTTTTTTTACACAACTAAACCCAAGAATTTTGAAGTATTTCAAGAATATTTTATATTCAAATTATATTCCAATTAAAATGTTGATTTCATTAAATTTGAATAGGTTTTTTAGAATTATTCTTGTATTTCTTCTGAGGTAGGGAATTTAAAAAAAGAAATTTAGCCTAATAGTACTTGATGTAGAACAATTTCCAGGATAGCTATCTCAATAAAAGCAAACAACACAAACACAACAAATAAATACATTTTTTCTTTTCTAATTGGAAACTACTTGTCAAAACTCAAAACAACTCTGAATCAACCATATTCAACATGACATTAATGGCAGGAATTGTTCAAACATTCAAAGTTTATTCCACTCTGATCTTTCTCTTCTCATATTTAAATCATTATTCAACTGTATTTACATGTCTTATTAAAGTGACAGTTGATCCTTTGGCAGATTTATTAAAGAGAGTACACCTGCATAATAGCTTCACATCTTATATTCAGAGCAGTATAAATCCAGGTCGTTATATAAAAATACAAATATAAATCTTTCTTGCTGCACATTCGCTATAGTGACTTTAAGCAAAGAGAGAAAAACTGGAAGTCCTAAAGTCAGAAAAAGTATAATTAAAAGGAAAACTCTTTGCCTTTGGAGAGAAAAAGGGCCGTAATGATTTGCCACTGCGGATATTCTGAACTGTAAAGTTCACAGAACAGGGCAGAGGGTAGTACATGGCAGCCACATTAAAGCACCACTTGCATCCACCTGCTTCTGGCTCAGTCATTTTTGAGACTGGTACTTACAGATAATCTAGTGGAGCTAGAAGTTTCTCTAGTCTGTGCTGATATGCGTTAGGGTAAAGTATAAGAATATTCCCATCTTTAAGGGAATATCAGAACACCAACTCCATGATCCTGCTTTGGGGCAGAATAAAGAAAGTATTGCTACATGTACATATATATTTAATGTACACAAATACCCACCCAGCATTAAAGCCAGTCAATAGCCATTTAGACATAACCACTAGAAACCTGACCAAATAATTCATTTCTCCATCTGCTTTTTATGATATAGCTTTTATATTCTGCAGATCTTAGGGCCTATTGTGGAAGCATCTTCCTCCTTCCCTGCCCTTTTTTTTCCCCTTTCTCACTAGTATCAACTGACCAGTATTACCGAAATGAAAATATACAGTAAAATGTTTCTAAGAAGCAAAATAAATTACCTGTTACTGATCCTAATCTCAGTCAACTTTTATTTTTAAAAAATATTAGAAAATATATATTGAAGTAACTGTTTTATTATGATAATTGAGTTTGGTTTTAAAATGTAAAGTTCAGAGAGTAGGTGTCTATAACAGTCATTTAGTAAGGTTTTTTCCATCAGCATTTATCTTTAATTTGTCCTCCAGCGTATGAGCATTGTATTTAGTTAAATTTTAATTTCAATTGTTTAAATTCATTTGATCAAATTTTTAAAGGAAATGTTCTTAAAATAACTTCAGAGAACTCAGATACTTGTTCATTAATAAAACCCACAAATTATTCAGTTTAGGTTATGAATTTTTAATGAGTTTCCAAAATTTAAGTTAATTCTGAGGAACGATTTAACAACTGCAGAGAGGAATGATTTAACAACTTCACAGTGTGGAGATAATTTTCTTCCATTTGACTAGTGCAACTGAAGAAAAGAGTTTACTAGTTACAATGAAAGAATGTATATTGAAAGGTTAGTTATGTTAGTTAGTAATGTATACTTTAAATCTACATTGAAAAGAAAAAAAGAAGATTAAGAAAAAGCTGATGTAAACTAAATTTTGGTCATCTCTTCTTAGTAGGTAAAGTTTTATTAGTTGTGAATAATTCACTCATTCGGTTACGGTTCAGATGTGTGTTTTCAATTCCATTTTTCACAGATGAAAAATCTTCCACAGCCTTTTAAAAACCGCCCTTATGTTGTTGTATTTTCCTTCTTTCCTAGTGTCTGAAGTTGCGCAGTTCACTGGTCTGCAAAAGATATGCACCAAATGTTAAAATAAAAATGCATTATTATTCAAAGCGTATTACAAAACCTACCAGCCGGGCAGCTGCAGGTGAAATTGTTCCCGTCATGTTTCTGTGCTACATCAGTGCAGGTTGCATTGTTCTGACAGGGCTGGCTCTGACAAGCATTAAATTCTTCACACAGGGAACCCTGATACCCATCCTCGCAGTCACAGAAAAAAGTTGCCTAAAAACAAACAGCATATGTACTTCACAATGAATTTTCAAAGATTATGTTTTCATTGCATACTCTACTGAACAAAGATGTTTTTGTTGTTTTTCTGTTCACAACAGTAGCTGCCATAAATACATCAACTGCATGAAGTTACTCTCTGAAATATTAAACCTGCACGTATTCTTCAGCTAAAATTTTTTGTGCTGTCAAGTAATTTCATCTAGATAAGGAGGGTGAGATCAGATCCATAATGTCTAAATCCCTCTACATTTTTTATTCCATTCCAGAAATTACATTTATATACTGAAATAATTGTCAGAATAAGAAATGAGCAGATTTACTGCAACAAAATCCTACTACAAAGATGGACCCTCTACGTGAAGGACAGGGTTGGGGTCCCAGAGGCTCACTTCAGTGGTACTTCAGTAGTGGCACACCTCTTCAATTTTATGAAAACAGATCTTCTGAATGTATTTGTTATTTTCTCCTAACCTTGCTGTTTAGTAAAAGATCAAGAACACTATACCTGTTAAAGATCTCAAATATCTATAGTAGGCATGACATGGCACAGTTTTGTCAGTAATAAAATAATTGAGATAAGATTTTAAAAAATCTTTAGGAGGTTAAGATTGCCAAGGAGGTCTCAAAGAATGGAAGGAAGAAAGGAAAGCTTTCTCATCTGTAGTATACATTTAGATTAAATATCTTACTTTCTTTGTTCATTAAACACTAGATGGCAACATCACTCACTCTCAAACATTTCAAAGTCAGACCATTAGGGCTGGAACGCAGCTGCCCCATGCACAAACACTGTAATGCAATGTACAGAATGTGCACGGAACTATAAACAAAGAGATGAGGTTACTATTTTATCTTCTATTTTTACTTGTGTTTGCTGCATAGGAATACACAGCGGTGACCTAAGTAGAAAAGAAAATAATCATCTTGATACAAATACAAAACTTTACTAAGTAAAACTCATATTTCATTCTTCCTTACAAATATTACCCTGATAGAGTTTAAACAAGGATTAATTCTATACATCTCCAAAACTCAGAATGATGGGTATGTTATTTATCTGAAGTGCCAGAAGTCCCTGCTAAGTGTATGGTCTATACATGTTCTGATATTTGCCCAAGGCTCTTCACAAAACAGCTCTGAATCTCTCATGCATTAGCAATGGCAGGTTTCCAAACAAGGCTGTAGCTGAACAGAAAGGAAAGACAGGCGAGCAAACATAGCCAGAAACTACTATAATCACATCACATAGTAACTTACTTTGAAGATAACTCATACGAACTACCTGGGAGAGTGGCTAACAGAGTGAAACAGATAATCACTTCTATTTAAGAACTAAACAATTAACTAAATACACAGTATTCCCACATCTCCATATAGCATTGGTGGAAAACACAGCAGCACAAAGATCACTTGGGTTCCTAAAGACAATAGTGATCAGTGGTTCAAAGTTAGTGTTGTCCTTAAAATCTCCTATCATTGGAGTCATGCAGTACCATTGTGCATATTTAGATTAGATCTGAGGAATAAATTCTTCACTCAGGGCAATGAGGCACTGGAACAGGTTGCCCAGAGAAGTTGTGGATGCCGCATCCCTGGAAGTGTTCAAGGCTAGGTTGGATGAGGCTTTGAGCAACCTGATCTAGGGGAAGGTGTCCCTGCCCATGGCAGGGGGGTTGGAACTAGATGATCTTTAAGGTCCCTTCCAACCCAAACCATTCTACGATTCTATGATCAGGACCCAGGTAAAAAGCACACATAAACATTTTGCCTGCAGCATCCTTCACAGCTGTTCTAACTCTTATTAACACTAAATTATGTTATGACTTCAAGTGTTTTCTATTGTTCTTGGAATGGAGTGTTGAGTTTTGACTTAATACAAAACCAAGATTGCTGCCTGTCTCAATAACTCACCTGTACTGGCTGAACAAAGAGAGATACTATACCATGAAAAAAAATGGCATATTTTTCTTAAAATGGAGATGAATAGAGCATGGGGAAAGATATAGGCTCTGTACTTAAATTCTGTACCCCATTTGAAGAGATTGGAGTCTTGATCTCATTTAAACATGTTTCTGGTTGTTCCGTATGCACTGCAAATGAGAACAGTCTTATCTACATCTATCTGGTGCTAAAGACATCCCTAAGCAAGAGATTCGAGAAGTATAACATCCCATCAAAGTTAATTCTGTCAGAACAAAGAGGTACCATGTTCATTAGGTAGGCTCAGGTTCATGGCTGTTTTATATTAGATCTGAAAGTAAGATACAAAGTACATCATTACCTGAACCATTTATCAGAGAGGAAGGAAATGCCTGTACTGTCCACACCGACAGAGACAGCATGGCTCAGCCTGCACTAAAATCTCATTTCAAAGCAATGGAAGCTGATTACTATAATGTAAGTACTAATATGTTTAAACAATGCAATAATCAGTCATTGCCTCAACAATATTAATGAAATAGAAAAGAAAAGCTCAGATTATATTGACATCCCTGTAAGAGTATGATAAAGGGATCAATTTACTATAAAGTGTAGTTAACAAAATGGGTTTTGAAAGCAGAAAAGAAAAGCATTGCAACACTTCAGATTGAATTGTCTAATGACAGATAACAGTTCTGAGATGCAGGGAAGTTATTCTGTAGAGAAGACTAGGTGTCATCATTTTTATTAGGCATGTCGTCCTCACTTTTCAAACATGATACTATTAATTCTTTTTCCTGAAGAGATGACATGTACTAGCATACTTGAGGAAAACTAAGTCAAGAAGAAACTACATGCTGCCATAATGCTAGTACTCACTATCTAAGAATTCCAAAACAATCTACTATCAATGGGCAGTTCATCTGTGTATTTTACTTGATTATGGGAGAGCAAATCTATCATATATGAATTTGGATGGCAATGAAATAAATTCTTGAAAATAATTTGCTATTACCCAAACCAATTGTCTTTATTATTATAAATACAGTTGAAATATAGTACTTTTTTCCCCTATTTTAAGTAAGAAGACTAATAACGTGCTCATCAGATTCTAGATTTCAGGCTAATGAGACCATAAAAGATCACTTTTTTTAAAAAAAAAAAAAAGAAAACTATAGTAAAGAAGCTCTTAAGATGACCAGAATAAAATGAATGTTTACTCTTTATCCTACTGACCAAGACTTTCACTATTTATTACAACTCGCAGTGAGTTGCTATAATATTTGTGCAAAACATTGGTGTATGATAATTACATATTTTGTATTTGGGAGTTTATTGTACTTAGGAAACTACATCCATATGCAGGAGAGCACGCTTTTAGGTATACATGAGGCTTTTTTATAAAAACATACAAATATACATATATACTCACACATATACATACATATATATATACACACACAAATACAATCAAGTGGATGTACATCAAAGCTTCTAGTCCATATAGAAGACATAGGAATCATCGCTATTCAGTTCAATACATTACTTCTCAGTGCAGGCAGAGCCAGCTATTTTTGTGTAAATCTCAAGGGTTCTAATTCTAGCAATAAAATTTCATATTTACATAGTCAGCTCTTCCATATTTTACATGGGAGAGCCACAGTTATGGAACAGAGCAATCTGTGAAAGAAATAATTTATCTCACATGTAAGCAAAATTGTGGCTCTCAAACTCAATGGATGGCTAAAGTTCAATTTAAAATCCTACACAGAATCAGAAATTCACAGCAAAAAAATCTTTCTCTAGGTTAATACCAAAATTTTTCACTTCCGTTCACAGCTAACTGGTTTGAGGACAACTTATTCTGGTGTAAAGCTGAGTATATAAATGGGAAAGTGGTATTCGTATTGCGATGCTGTCAAGGCCAGTATTATCCTTCTGACACCTTTCTGCTTTCATTGTGGGAGAATGGCAAGTATGGTAGCAAAGCAGGGCTACAAAGCTCACACAAAGGAAGGAAAAGGCATCACTTTGACTCAGTATCACCTCACTTCACAGAACTTTGTTCAAAGTGGTGAATTTTATGTTGTTTTCAAAAGTAACAATAACTGAAAAAGAAACTGTCATTAAAAGTTTCCCATTTCATATCCACATTCTATAAAAAGCACCTAGCTCAGTAGAAGCTAAGTCATGTATCAGTAAAGAATGAGTAAAAACTGGTCAAGAGTTCCAGGTTAGACCAGAATTTATTTGTTTATAGTTTTATGCACTCCATAGATAACAGTATGCCACTGCACTTATATCACTGCAGATTGTTAATTACATTTAACTTTCCCATTAAGCAGATGTGTTACTACTTTCTTTTACATTAAACTAGATTTGGAATAAAACTATGAAGTACATAAAAACACAAAGACAATCATTAATCTTCTTGGCACTGGAGGCAATGACTACAGTCAGCAGAGCTCTTTGCATAAAAGGCCTAATACCATGAATAAACTTTCTTCTAAGAAACTGCTTTGCACCTTGCAAGACTAGATTGTGCAAAACAGAATTAATTATAGATAAAAACAAATGGCAAATCACAAAGGGCATGTTGTAAACCTAAAGAAAATTAAAGTCTCAATTCTGCAAAAAGAAGTACAGATGTGTCTGTGGGAAACGACAGTCGGTACATGTCAAGCATATAATTTTGGCAGTTGTTTGCTCCATCATTAGGGAAATCACTAAGACATTTCAGGGCATATCTCACCTAAGATGCATTAAACAATGGCAAAAACTCCCTGCTTAATGAAAAAACCCCTTCTATTTTTACCTATGTTGCTTATGCTGGGCCTGAGTCAGATTCCTGGCTGAAGTTCTATTATGCAACTAACAGGCTAAAGCGTAAGGAAAACTGACAGATTTTAAAAAATACTATGGACAAACAGACAACGTGACATAGTTATTCTCCCTGGAGTAGGAAGCTGGACACTTCTCATTTCTTCAAGTACTAGAAAATTCAGAGACAGTTTGTGACAGTGAAAATAAAAGCAACTACATTTCTCAAGTTGAAGTTTTATTTGAAGATAAGAGAGATCAAGAATCCTGCTAATTCCAGCTCTCCGACTCCCATGAATTGATAGACGCCTCTTTAGAAATGGACTTCAACATGATTTCTATGTCCCACAGCTTCAGCCACAGGGATGTGAGTCACTTACAGCCTAGTGCATGTTACATCAAAACCCTACCTTAATAGATTTTCTGGTTATTACTCTTAGGTTCAAAGAAAGAATAGGTGGGGAAAGATATGAAGAATCCTAATTTTTTCTGTTTGTTTTCTAGGAAAAGCAACACACTACATGTTCATGAGAGGGGGTCATTTATCACTAACAATTCTAGTTTTAACGTATAAAACTTTCAACGTCAAGACTACAGATGGGGACGAACAAGCACTGTTATATCTTTTTTTGAGTGACATAATAGCTCCTCTTTCTTGCCATGAAGCCAATTTGTCTTTCTTTTTAAAGATTATTTTATTTTACTCACCATGTCTCAAAGATGGATAGAACATGGATAATTATTAAAAGCCATATATGCATTTTCCTTAATACAGAAAAGCATTAATGTGTCTGCATATATATAGGAAGTAATTTATTTTTATTTTGTGACATATGCCATGAAAGAAGACAAAGAAATTAGAGTTATAAAAATGGACAAACATGGGAAAAAACAGAAAATAAGACTATTTGTCAAAGGCTTTAACTCTCAACTTAAAAAATGGAAAAAGAAGACATTTTGATATACCGTTCTGTATAGTAAATCTGAACATATTATTTACATAAATCAAATTCAAGATGCTGAAATTATAAAATAAAAATGTTAAATATGGTAAAGCAGAAAAACTAAACTGGACTATGAAATAGGACACTGTATCTGAATGAATAATTTACTTAGATACCAGCCAGCTGGTATGGTAGAGTAGCACTTACTTCTAAACACATCTTGCAATAATTGTGCTCACATATTACCTCAAGCATTTTAAAATTTCATTTTTGAGAAATAAAATAGATACTTAACTATTCCAGATGTTAGCACTGCCATGCATATATAGATTACTGTAGCAATTTAATTATTGTTGTTACAATTCAAAACGTCATTTTTCTATCAAACATGCTTATTGAGAATTCAAATCAGAAAACGGTAGCAGAGGAACAAACAATGAATTCCCTAAATATGCCAAATTTTCTGTGCTCACAGCAGGCTCACAGCTGTTAATATTTACTCAACAGTCACTATTGCTTTTATCTCCCAAATGAATATTAATAAAACCAAAGATTAACTGTGTATATTTTTGCTATAAATGACTTTTAATCCATGGAATAAAATCAACACGTATGGAAGGTAACAGAATACAGGATCTCATTCACAGAAGGTCAGTCTGGTTTCGTAAAAGTGGTATACAAACTGCAAATTTTACACATTTGGTTCTTATTTTCGTGTGTTTCTAGATTGCACAAAAAATTCACAATGGCCAGTGGAATTGCTGTCACCATTGTAATCTCTCAATGTAGTATTATGTAAAGGAGAAAGCCGTACAGGAAAACTTCCAAACATTACCAAATTACTTCATTGTGCTTCTTCTCATAATTATGCTCAGACAATTCCATTGCACTGATCAGTGATTTCTGAGTGAGCAATTATTGAGACATGGAGAGATAATTACTAGATTAAATCAGACCTAAAACCAAAATAAGGTTGAAGACTTAAACTGGAACACGCTGGTCTGGAGATTGGGAATCCCAAGTTCCCACCACATGCTTCTCATCTCAAAGAAACACTCTTGTATGGTGACAGTAAGATGCTGTGCACATTACTTTCTACCTGATTTGAAAAATTGTTTTTATTGCCAGGGCAGGGTAAGAATCTTTGCTTCTCATATCAGTTATTTTCTTAATTTAAGTGCTTGATTTTTAAGAATAGCAAATAAATATATTGTTATAATTTAGTAACATCTGTGAGCTTTAGAAGCCTATTACACAGCAGCAAGGTATGCACACCCTAAGAGGAACAGGTACAATTTACTCTGTGATTATACTTCCATGGAATTTCCACACTCCAGGAAGGTCTTGATAAGTTCACCTTACCTCATCTGGTTTGGTGACACATTTTCCTTTCCCTGAACACTGGAAGTTATATGAATGGCTTCCCACAGGCATGCAGGTACTGACTTTCACTGTCACAGTCAAGCGTAGAGCCACAATGCATTTAGTAACTGAATCATTCAAAAAACCTTAAAAAAAAAAAAAAAATTATTACTATGTGAGAAAACACACTAATACATATTAATGTTCTACTGCTAAACAGATAAAACTGAAGTGAAAGAAAATGTGAACTAAGAACATCATTGCTTGTATTTCATACACATCTATCTACATTTAATGCATGTAAATACAAATTAGAATATAGTTTGGAAACAAACATTCATTATATTGTTTAACAAAAGAAAGGTAGGCTGGTGATCTTACCTCCAGAGCTGTAATCTGTTATCCTTTTTTTAAGTCTCAAATAATCACATGCTTTTGTCTGCTATCTTTCTGATAAGTTAAAAATATATTGTCTTAAGTTTTTTAATGATAAGGAATTTTAAAATCAAATTCAGTGGAGAAAAATGTTTAAATTAATTTCTGAAAGTTCCTTCAGAGCTAAAAAGCACACAGATCATAAGCTGCATTACACTGGTAACAGATGGACAATCTTCTTGGCTGTATATTTTATGAAGTTTGCAAGAACATACATATACAGCTTGACAGCATTTCTTTGTGTATTTGCAATGCAAGTATTACTGAATGTCATCTCGGACCACTTTATAAAGTGATACACCAGGTATAGATGAATGAAACATGAAAACAAGAACATTTGATGAGGAAGAGGAAAATTCATGAATCTCTGACTAGCACCTGTAATTGCATGAAATTAAAAAAATAGTTGGTTGGAAGCTATTATAAGACACTGGAGCATAACAACATGCCTATCACTCATACTTCTAAGAGATATAACTAGAAAATAAAAAAAAAAAGGCAGCAGGAAAGATAAAATAAGGTATATACACAGCTCATGACATACACAATTCAGACAGAGTTCATGCCAAAATACATATATCCTGCTCCTATATGTCAATGGTGCTCGAACTGCATTGTCCCACCACAGTGATTACACGCCTGGGTTACAGCCCTTCCGTGAGTGGCACCAGTTCACTGTTTTGTTCTGGGAGGTTGTGCCGTGACATAAAAAGGTGTGGGTCTAGTATAGTATATATACACTGTATGCAGAATATATGCACAAAAAACCCCAAAGATCCTTCCATAAATTGTCGAACTTCAATTTGACTTCACTATCCTTAATGTAGCTAGACTCCTAAGGGTTTAAGACTGTTTGTAGTGTCTGTATGGAAAGTTACAGACACAGAACCATTGCAGGATTATGCTTTCCTTTAGAAGTTAATAGAAAGAGAGAATTTAAGTAAAAATTGATGCTTTTTTTTTTTATCTAAATATCCTTAATTTTAAAAAGAATGATGGTAAATAGATGCAGGAGGTGTATGACATGGAATGTTTTTTCTAATATTTTCCACTTTGAATTCTAGAATCCATTTACAGTCTAAACCTCAAACGAACTTCAAAGACGCAGTCTAGCTTCTTTCATTAAGACTGGAGATAGCACAATATTTAGTCTAGCAGAAGAAAAAATTAGTACAAGATAATATTTATAATTATCAGTAATAAACCAAAGTTTCATGAAACACTGTGGACTCCAGGTGAATTCTCCTTCCAGAACAGCTGCTAAACATTACTTACATTCTGCATATGAAAGTGTCAAGCATGACTAATTCTACAAACTCCATAGAAAATCATATGGTAGACTCCCATTCTTTGTTCTTCATTTTCAGATTTCACTTTTTAAAATGATGCATCTTTCAACAATTAGTTGTCTATGCTAGAAACAACGATGCCTAAACCATATCTTCAAAGAAGGAAAATCTCTTGCCCAATAAAGATGTCATTACCTTGAGTATGGCATCTACGAGTTAGCTGAATGCTCTAAAAGATCAGATTGAAAAAAATTTATTGGGTATAGTTCCAAATGTCTAATGGTCTGTTTTGGCTAGTGAGGATTATTGTAATCTGCTGACCTCTTCAAAGCAAGCCAATTTATTCTGGCCTTAATACACTTTCTATTTTTACCCATCTGTTCAAAGATGTATCCAGAATTATTTCCTTTAACAATTGAAAGCAATTGTCACTGGCAGTCATGCAATTATATGTGAATGCTTGGAAGAATGTGGTATTCAGAAAATGTCTTTGGGTTCACATTTGCTTGTCTGAAGCAGATTGTTACATATTCTTTAGGACAGTTCCCTAAAGGAATATTAAATCAACCTTCTTTGTACTTCGAGTCTTGTTACTATTTTGGTATGAAAAGCCCTTGGGCCAACCACGGAAAAAAAAAAAATCATTATTCTCACTGAAATGGCACATATTTTCCTGTAATTTCTAATTATCTCACCTAATTTCCAAAGACTAGAAAAATAAAACCACAGCTATTTATTTTCACTCTATATAAGTTGCACACAACTTTCTGAGATCTCTAGGTTTTAAGGCTAGAAGCTTCCCTGATCATCTAAATATGACTCCCTGCTTAACTCAGGTCATAGCACTTCAATTAGTTTCTTCTCCAACTCCCATAACAGCAATGGAACTACAGTGAGTTTTAAGTTCTATTTTTAACTTCTAGGTAGGATAATAATTTCGAAAGTATGTTTACAGCTCCCTCTGTCTAAGGTCTGGAGAAAAACACTACAGCTGTTTATAACAAAAGGTAATTCTGTTCAGTTTAACCTTGCTGGTGTTCTAAAGCTAGTTAAAACACAATGACATCGAAGCATTTTAAGTTGAAGAATTCAGGGTTGAGCTATTGACAGTATCATAGAGTCACAGAATGGCATAGGCTGGAAGGGACCTTAGAGATCCTCTAAGCCAACCTCCCTGTCATGGGCAGGGACGCCTCTCAACTAGACCAGGCTACTCAAGGCTCCGTCCAACCTGGCCTTGAACACCTCCAGAGAGGGGGCATCCACAACTTCTCTGGGCAATTTATTCCAAAGTCTTACCACCCTCGTACTGAAGAATTTCTTCCTAAAATCTAATCTAAATCTGTCCTCCTCCAACTTAAACCCATTTCCCCTTGTCCTATCAGCAGACACTCTTGTAAAAAGTCCCTCCCCAGCCTTCCTGTAGGTTCCCTTCAGGTATTGGAAGGCAGCTATTAGGTCCCCCCGAAGTCTTCTCTTTTCAAGGCTGAACAATCCCAGCTCCTGCAACCTGTCCTCGTAGCAGAGGTGCTCCAGCCCCTGGATCATCTTTGTGGCCCTCCTCTGAACACGGTCCAACAAATCTATGTCTCTCTTATGGTGGGGACACCAGAACTGGATGCCGTATTCGAGGTGGGGTCTCACAAGAGCAGAGTAAAGGGGGAGAATCACCTCTCTTGACCTGCTGACCACGCTTCTCTTGATACATCCCAGGATGTGGTTGGCCTTCTAGGGCCGCATGAGCGCACTGCCGGCTCATGTTGAGCTTCTCATCTATAAACACCCCCAAATCCTTCTCTTCAGGGCTACTCTCAACCCACTCTGTGCCCAGTTTGTATTTGTGTCTAGGATTGGCCCGACCCAGGTGAAGGACAGTAATATTATGGAAACCATTTTAAAACTTAATAAATCAGAATACAATGTGAGTAGTCATTTAGATTGCAGAGGAGGCATTTTCAAGCTTTGTACACATATGGTTGATAGCCTGAGAAACGCCTGCATGATTTCATTGGCAATACGCATGGTAAAACACACTACAGCTCATTCCATCCTGGTAGCTTTACCTACTTACACCTAGGAGCACAAAGCATGTATGCTCCTGTTTCTGATATCAAGAAAGTTAAGAATGAAAAATAAGAAAAAAAGACAAAATAAAAGATCACAGGTGTCATCGTTGTGTCCAGGTGCCTTCAGCAAGATCATATCATGCCATTCAGATCACCACTACTTAAACATTAATTGATTGACTGTAGATTTTCTAGACTACACAAACTGATTTGCTTCCTTCTCAAGCCCCATTTCTGAACAATACCTGCCTTCTATGCACGGCAGATCGAGGTCAGCGAGCTAGTCCATAGTGGGCTGTCAAAATAAGGAAGACTGAAGCTAATAGACCACCAACTCAGAAAATTATCCTATTGCATATCATGCTAATGGAAGGCAAAAGACTCGACTACAAATCCTAACTCGCTCTGGGTATGCACTCAGTGCTGTTACACACACAAACACTCGCCTGTTGCAGTCATCTCGAACGTATTTCTCTGCATTCCAATCCTAATATATACTCACCTACTGTTGAAACAATAGATTATCATTTTACTGCAGAAATACAATAATAGTTCCCTCCATTAAAGCTCCAGTTCACAAAAGTATAGGTCTTTGAATCCGCCTAAATGTTTCTTGGATGACAGAGGATAACTGCCAAGGGGTTTGAGCGCTCACTTACAAAGAAGCAGCAGTCCCTAAGTTTTCAACTTATTTTTAGCCTAGTTTCCCAAGGAAATGAGACAGCAGTGGGATGTCTATCAGTTTCCATCTGTTCTCTTTTTCTCTTTCAACACTTTCCCACACCAAAAGCTTTTGGGGTCAGCAGCCAAATTCAACATTTTGCAAAGTAGTGGAGTTCTCAAAGACACTAAGTGCCTACAGCTTCCCTGCACAGTATATAGCCCTGGCAACTAAGGGCACTGGTAAGTCAAAATGGGTAGGAAAACAAAAAAGAGCCCCAGAATAAGGTGATGTCATTTCTCCACCCAATTCCCAGTGTACCGTACAGTCAGTTATTCATTATTTGGAAAATGGGAAACTGGGATATATACAAATGGAAGAAAACCAGATAGCATCAGTCCTTCAGGAACAAAGCAGTGGTGTTGGGTATGCCTGCACCAGATCTTCAGTTCATGTCAGGTAGTAACATAATGAAGCTATAATACTTCCAGATCTGATTTCAGCTTCCAGAAACAATATGGCTGCTATCAGAGCATACTGAACCGTAGTTGATAAGCCTTAGTGGTTCAGGATAGAAGCTACGTAAGTATGTGTGCTAGTTCATTCACAGATAGCAAAAAGTTATAGAATTAACCTAAAATATAGAAGATATAAAATATTCAAGAGGAATTTTCTATTCAACCACATCTCTCACA